TGGTAGGAAGTGAGTGCAGGTAATTTCCTCCCAGCTTGCAGAGAGTTGTGTGGGGAGGCAAGAGCAGGTACACACACAGGAGGTGGAGGGAAGCCTGTAACCTCATGCTTCCAATAGCCTTGATTGGTCGACTCCCATTGCTAATGTGTATATCTGTATATGTGTCAGTGTGAATGTGTAACTGTACACAAAATCACCCCTGCATTTCAACATTCAGCACACAATGCCCATTTCATGAATAACACACTTGGCACATCGTTTATAACACCCACTTAATAAATTTGGCACCCGAGTTACCTACATTACATTCATGGTACCCTCAGCAATTGTTTTTTACCAACATAACTTATACAAGGTATGTGCTACCCACATGACACGCACATCACCCTGCACCCTGATTCCTCTCCTGCAACTGTCAAAAAAACAAATACTAACATTTTTATAGCAACCTATGTTCTACTCCTACCCTTACCCTTTGTATCACTATACCCCACTCCCTCTAGCATGTAAACTCACTGAGCCAATTTCATCAACAGTACCCATCTGACATCCACATCGTACATAGCACTTAGCAGACTTAACAAATAAACAAGGTCCATCCTGTGCGGAGCACCCACATTGTTAATAGCACCCACACCTATTACAGATATATTGATACATACATACATACATACATACATAGACTGCAATGCAGACCAAGGATTTTTTTAATGTTTCTTTGTGCTGTTTTCCACTTTTTTGTTCTTTGTAAAGAACCGATCGAACTTGTAAAACAATAACCAAGTAAATGTTCTTTTTTTTTTTCTATACAAATATACAGTAACAGTAGGATGTCTGTAGTTCACGTTACAATCAGGCAGAAATCAAACCTGCGTTAAACTTTGTATTTAGCCCATAAGAGCAGGGATAATATTCGTCAAGGAACAGCTGTAGCTCAATCAGGCTAGACCCAGGTGTAAATGCTGCAATCAGTTTCCAAGTACCGATGAAGTGACAACCTGTCGGTGTGGAAGCTTAAAGGATGAAAAGATTCTAATTACATATCAAATAAAAATGCAAAAATGTTTTTTGGTTATTTTTATACTCACAGGCATGTACATCAATTCAGACTTCTGCATACATGCATGAATAAGGCAGTATGGAACACTGAATTTTTGTTAGCAACTTCATTTTGCAATTCAAGCAGCTTCTTCGGAATTGTATCTTTATGCTGTGAGAATTATGTTTCATGCTGGTTCTTGTACAGACAAGAAGCAAATCATGGAACAAATATTCCAGTCTTTAGGTGTCTGATAAATAAGATAGCGGTCTGAGGTTGGATTATTTATTTGCTCTGTTTTTCAATATTTAAAAGACTGTCTGGGAAAAGACATGGTTTGTTTACCTTATGCCTTGAAACTTCAAATGTTTTGTTTTCGTAGGTATAACACCTTTTATCGGACCTGATTAAGGCAATCTGTGACATCTATGAGGACATGAACATATAGGTCACAGGTGGTAACGTGTAATAATCCTCGTGACATCTCTGACATAGTTCAGCAATTCAGCATTAAATACCAGCCATTCTTAAAACCTACCATCACTTTTTAAGGCTTTTTAAACACTTTGGTATGCCAAATCAGACTTACAGTGGTGCGCTTATTATGTCCACAGTGCTAGTGCTGATAGACACAAGGGGATGTACTGCTGGTTAATTTCTCTTACACAGGAGCGGTACACTGTATTTCTCCCATCTTATCTGAAAGTGTTAAGGCACCTTAATAGTGTCTTGAAGCTTGCCAAAGTCTAATCTTTGGAATACGGTACATGTTTTCTGAATCTTATGTTCTGCCTCTTCTATGCAATATTCCCACGTTTCAGAAAAGTCAACTTGAACTCTTCCGCCACCAGGAATTAGCTTGACCAGTCAAAAGTGTCTCATCCCGGCATTGCAAGGATTAAATGGCAGATTGGAAATAGGTCACTGGCTAGTCTATATGTGAGAAAGCTCATGCTAAATAAGATGTCAATATGCTTGTTTATATGAGCACAGTATACCGAGGAGGGACTAACAGATTTCAAAGGTCTCTGTGTACAGTCTCAGTTCTGTTCAAAGAAGGGCTTCCTGGAATGGAACGTGTTGTTTAGTGATCACCTTTCTACTACATTAACTACAACTCCTGGAAACAAATGTTGTTCTTCTTGATAATATGTACACCTTTGTTTTTGGGAAGTATTACTGTTGTGGATCAGAAATGTTGATCTTTGTTATATTCAGAGGAAGCCCAAATTGTTGTTACAAGTGCACTTGGAGAAGCGAGAATTAGACACCAGACACCTGTTGGTATTCAAAATAAGCCTCTGCCGTTTTATTCATCAGCTGGGTTTTATACATTAAAGAGTAAGTGCTTACGTGCAAATACTCTTAGAACAGTAATAGGAAGGGAGTACAGATAAGACATAGGGATGAGCGTCATGTACACATAACAAATAAGTTTCAAGGTAAGAGAGAACAAAATGATTAGAGCAGAGACATCTTAGGTGGGGGCTCTCTGCTCTCGGAACTAAGATATATATATGTTCTTAAGTGTTGTTTAAGCATCAAGCATTTCCTGAGTCCAAGTTAGCCAATTTTAATATAGGATATCATTATATGACACCTATAAGCTTGAGCCTTGGAATCAAGATAAATTCTATCACAATTACTTAGAATGAAGGAACATTAAAAGGACAATTGTCACTTCAAAACAATTTTTTAAATGTATGTAATAGAGTGAAATAAGGCCTTTTTATATTTATATAGAATAAAGGGAGACCAATCTGGGAGAATCCCTTGAGGGCGGTGAATGGGAAGAAATTTGTGAAGCTGCATCCAAGATATCCATTTGTATCCTTTCAGAGGAATAGATGTACAAAGTCATGTTTCTCTGGCCTATTACCCCAGTCTTATTACACAAAATTGGACATAACCTGTATGATCTCTGCTGGCAATTATCGAACACATACTTACATATATGGTGGGATTGTCCCAAAATACATAATTATTGGAAAAGCATTAAGGACTTAGCAGTAAAAGTTCTCCAGAGACCTATAGAATTATCCCCATGGATATTCTTACTTTCACGTCCAATTAAGGGTATGCCAAAACATTTTCGCAAAAGCTACTAAACATAATTTCACTAGCAGCCAAGATTTTTCAGAATTAAGTTTTTTGTAAAAATGTGAAAAACTCATCCTTATCTTCAGTATATGACAGGATTATTCAGCCATATACATGTACCTTGCCTCAGCCATATACACGTACCTTGCCTTACTAAAGTGAGAATTCAAAGTGAATTCAAACTGAATTTAAAATGTAAGGCCAGAGTAGCTGAACTATAAGAATAGCTGACTTAGAGACCTTTTCCAGTTTGGCTATTTTAACCTTTCATTTAAAATTCACTTTGAATTCTCACTGTAGTGAATAACCCTGTAAGTTTCCATTTCCCAGCACTGTCTGACAAAGGTGCATGTATATGGCTGTAGGACACTGTCTCAAGAACCAACAAGAATATACATATTTTAGATTGAGGGAGCTGGGGCTGAGAAGAAAGAGTTTGCAAAACAAATACTTTTTACTTTTATACAAGCATATAAAATTGACACTGCAAAAATTATTTGTGTTGATGCACAAAGCATCTTTATAACTGACACTGACTAGGGAAACACAGGATAGAGTGGTGAGCTGTCTCATCCTACCTGAATGCCAACTCTAGCTCTAGGCCTCATGAGAGAAAAAACGCAATTCAAGAACAGAAAATAGGCTACTACCAAAGTCCAGAGCCCCTCACCTTGCACAGGAGAAGGATATGGGCGGAAAAAATAAGAAACCGAGAGCAGACAAAAGCCCACTGTGACAAGAGCAATCTCGCCACATTGCATTGGAGAAGCCTGGTTGCTCGCCTGCTGCCTTTGGACTATGGCCCCCATGTTAAAAGACTTTGTTTCGCCTGCAGAAAAACTTTATTGGTGCTTTTCTGCCTGGTGTTCAGTAGATTCAATCTACCGAACAACCGTACGAATGACTGGACCACCTGGGAGCTGGAGTGTGCCGGCAATTAGCCTCCCTGAAGCTGCGGTTAACCGCAGCTTAATTGACGAATACTCGGTGGCCGCCATTCGTATCCCGAACACGAGGTCGCTGCCATTTTAAACATGCGAATGCACAGCGGTGTTCGACGCTTAATTCATGGAACTGAAATCGGACACAGTTTTGCGCTAACACCGCTGAAGCCGCCGACCTCCCTTCTTGGTCGATGAAAGTGCACGAACGGCCCAGCGTTCGGTAGTTTTACTGGAATGTGTTATACCCCAGATAGGAATCCCATGGAGCTCATTCACATGAAACTGACTGTGTAAAGACTTTAGCTCCATGGCGATTAAACTGTATTCATGTGGTCTGAGCGCCATTCGCTTAATAATGTGCGCTCAGACCTGAGCTATCTGGGGACATGTTAAATGTATAAGTTTATTGTAATGTGTCTTACATAGTGTATTTTAACAGTAATTCATGTTTTAGTATCCCCACGTGCATTATGGCGATTTGCCTTTGTCTTGGGAGATAATTGAATTACTTCTCAATTATCTCCAAGGCAGAGGGGAGGAAGCCAGGATGCATTGTGGGAATATAATGTGACTGTGTGTCCTATTTGTCTACTTGTCTGTCCTCTGTCACAGTCTCCCATTTGGTCCCCTAGGGGAGTGTCCACCAGGTGGAAGACCTGCATAAATACTGGGCAGGTAGCCCTCATTAAACTGTTCACTGCTTGACCCTCAACACGGAGCTTTGTCTCGTTCTTGGGGGGATTTACTGTATGCTGTTCCAGTTTGACTGCTAGGAGTGTAAACCTATTCGTATGGTTTTTCCTATTCAGCTGTTTACAGCATTCATATGGTTTCCTGTTCGGCGGATTGGTGTTCTGCAGTAGCTGTGCCTGTGTCTCTGGAAGGGAAGATCTACTAAATGGCGGTTTAACCCTTTTATGTCTGGGGGTGCCGTTACACCCCCTAAGTCAAGATATAGGGGAGCTGCTCCGACGCTCGCAGGCCCCAATGTGGGACAAAATGGCGATGGAGAAAGAGGATGTCACATCAAGCCATGTTCTGCGGAGATGTCTGGCTTTGGCTTCTGGTATCCAGTACTCTTTTTACATTTCTTGTTTAGTTTTTTCTTGTTTTTTTGGTTTTCTATTCTATGTCTGTTTTCTTTATGCTGGGTTTTTCTGGGTTCATTCCTGTAATCCGTCCCTGGAATTCCAAGTGTCCAGGTTTCCTTTACATGTTTGTTTTATGTTGCCACACCCTTTTGTTTTAGTCTGGACCTGCAGCAATGTTTCAAGTCTCTGCCCTTTCTTGCAGGTAAGTGCTATTGTGGTTTAGTATGGGTCTTTTAGCGAACATTAGGCAGTGTAGGACCTGCCGAATATGGGGTACATTGGCGTTGTGGCAGGCTTATGCAATGTATGATCATATAATGTAACTAAATCCACATACTTTTCATATATAGTGCTTAGTTATGTCTCCTCTTGTTTTGCCTATTATATCTTGTCTTGTTTTATTTTGTAATCCCAGTTCATGTACAGTCCTGTCCTGCCCTGTTCTTGTTTTCCTCATGTCTTGTGTAGATGTTCTGGGTTCTGCTTTCTGTCCTGCTCTGGTTCTGGGTTCTAATAGTTCTGTCTTGTTTTCATGTTTGGTGACTATTCTAGCCTTGCCTTGTTTCTGTACTGGATACATGTCTGCTGCAGAGCCCCCCTGTCCAGTTCCTGGGAGGTCTGCATATCAAGCTCCTAGTTCCTGGGATCCGCTAAGCTGCAACAGGGTCTTGGTTTGTGGCCGCACAAACGCTGGTGCTCAACACCAGGGGGCGTGCGGTTACCCTGCACTGGGCTCTTTAATCCACTTCCACGCTGAAGACTCCCACTTCTCATCAGGCACTCAGGGGTCCCGGTTTCCGTACCACCACCCGTGACAGAGGAGCCCTTCTACTTCTCGGGAGACGAGTCGTATGAAGCGGG